CACTTCCTGAGAGAAAGTAGAGAGTACAAAGAACCTGCATACCAGCGATCATGCCTTCTCCAAAACAAGAACAGCAGCAACTTCAGGAATCATGGCTCAAAGCAGAATGAAGTAGACAGTTCATGCTTCAAGGAGCCTGCAGTTTCAGCTTACTGTACACACAAACAAGAGAAACCGAGGGGTACTGCTACCCTGGGTTAGGATGAGAAATAGGGGGGAACCAGCAGTTAGCGTAATGGCTATGTCGCTGGACTCCCCCGTAGTCGACCGCGGTTCGCATCCCGGACCCGGTGGCTTAAACTCACACCAGGCGCGTGTGCGTGCGTGCCCAAGATCCTGAGAGGAGAATGCAGGAGAAGGGACTGCGGCGTGACCATCCCCCCTGGGGGGTGATTTCTAGCTTTCTGTCTCTATGTCTCTGTCTGTCTGGCGAGTGCATGCACCCTATAGTGAAAATCTCTCCAAAAAAAAAAAAAGAAATGGGGGAAGGAGTTGAGGCACAAAGGCTTGTAACTGAGTCCATCAGTCCATTATCCTGAAATTGCAGGCTTGTCTGTCTTTCCTGGAATAGGTTTCAAGATATTACAGGTAAACCCAACTCAGACTAGGACATATTACCATCAAGTCTGCTAATTCCAAGACAACGGCAGTGCTGCTGTAGCCACGATTTCTTGGCATCCAGACATGTGAAAATGGTATTGGCAGTAGCACTGGCTCTTCTCTTTCACCCTCTGCTGTTACTATAGCTCCTTTTGCTAAATCTGCCTCTGAGTTTAGACAGGAGCTAGATGGCTCATAATCACCCAGCAGCTGCAGCTGAGCAATACTCAGCCTAATTGTGGCACTGGAGCAGCTGAGAGGAAGAAAAGAGATAATACATACCCTACCACAGCCATACACGAACTGGCGCACACACTACAAACATCGAGATACTTTAACAGAGACAGATGATTTCCTTAAAGAAAGCAATCCTACCTCACTAGAGACGTAAACCTGTTTAAGTGTGAACTGAAGGGCTAAGTCATCTAGGGTTCTAAACAATAGAAATTTTACTAAAACTTCCTGTAAATATTCACAACAAAGCCAGTGCCACAAACAACACCCTTATAACATGACTGAAAGTTCCTGTGATACAAGAATCAGCACAGATGTGATCTCTTCTTCAACTCTACAACAATGCAAACAACTAAAAACAGCATGCCATTACATAAAGCAAGGAACACACGACAGCATAATAAAATGATTTTCTCTGCATTTTGAACTCTAGAACTAAGGCTAAAATTACTGATTAAAAAATTACTGTTCTAGAAAATTGAAAATGGAAACAATGATGCCATAATTAAGATTTGCGTTTTAATTATTATGTTAGACAATTTTCTGAAAAATAGAGTATTGATGATAGAAAGCACCCATTCAATATACACAATTTAATTAGCTACTGTCATTTGAAATGAACAAGCTAAAGAGGACTTAAAATTAGTAAAACCTGTCTTCCCTCAAAATAGTAAGATAATATTAAAATCCTGTAGAACTTCAGATTTTTTTTTCAGAATTTTCTAGCAACTGTACATTTGGAAGTAAGTGTGTAACATTTTCAAGGTAGTTTTATACATTAGCTAGCATATGACAACTATGATTTAATCCTGTTTGCAAAGGACACCCAGTCAGTCAACAAATATTAAATTCTTTTTTTTAAAGATTTAATTTTATTTACCCATATCATTATTTCTTAATTTGCTTGTACAGGGCATGTGTGCACACATGCACGAGAGAGAGAGAGAGAGAGAGAGAGAGAGGGAGAGAGAGGGAGAGAGAGGGAGAGAGAGCGAGCATGAGCTGTCAGGTCAAAGACTTGAACCATGGTTGACTATGTGGGAGTCCAGTACTTTAACCATTATGCCATCTGCTGGTCCCCCTAAATATTAAGTTTTTAATCCAAGCACCTTATAGCACACAGCATTCTTTAAAAAATTAAAAATTTCACGTAAAAGATAATACAGATACAGAAAAACACACAAAACAAATGTATGACTTATTATATAGAGGCCAACACCCCCGCAACCATCACCAGGTTAAAAAGAACCCCGCCATCACTTCTGGAGCCAGGTCCCAATCACAACCTCCTCCTTAGTCTTTTATAAAAATCATTTCCTTGAAAATAATTTCTTAAAATATTTTTATCATCTGAGTTTGCATTCCTAGACTCCAGAGTTTAACATTAATTTTTTTAATAATAGGCTTCTTTAATGTAATGCTAATATAACCAATAAATGCCTATGCTGAATTTGAAAAGAAACATTACCTGTAGTGATAAATTATTTGCTTAAAATGATGCAAATCTGAACTTTTAATAAGTCTTACACCATGGGTTGGTAATATTTCACTTATCACTGCTATTCTTCTAGTATTATTTATTCTTTTATCATAACAGCCGGTGAAAGAATTTTATTTGCATATACATTTCAGCTTAAGAATGTCCTGAACTTAAGTAAAAAATTTAAAATAAGTCTTAAACCACGTATTAACATTATACTTCAACTATAAGACAAATTCCACCTACCCAAGGAAGACAGGTCAAGGCTGTAATTTCACTTTGGTTTGAACAGAAAAGAGTCAATTTTGTGGCTTATGAAGTCAGCAAAAACTAACTGCAAAATTAAAGCTATTATAACATTATGGTGGTTAAAGCAGAGTAGATATTTAAAGGGCCCTTTTAGGTTTTATTCTGGAAACATATATGAACTCTTCATATTTAGATTCAGATCAAAAGCAATTCATGTTTTCAAGTTTAGGACCTTCAAAATTATCAATCAGCATTTCACTCATATCTTCACTGAGGCTTCGCTGATGTCTAAAAATTAAAATACAATAAACTCCATTTTCTTAAATGTCAGCTATCGCAGGGCTCTCATGTATTTTAAGAAAAAAAATAAACATCTGTTTGATGAACTACAATTTTATTACAAATATATGAAAATGATATATGCAGCATACAAGATCCTTAGCTTCTGATACAAGGCACTATATTATTCCTGTCCATTCAAAACGTTTCCTGCCCACTGTATGCCAAGCACTGCACCAATTGAGCCATTAGATTTAACACGTGCTTTACTTTAAATTCATAGTCACATGGACATACTTAGAAATATTTTCCTTAGTGTGTAATTTAACTTTAGAAACTTAACAGAATAGTTTAAACACACTTAAAATTACCAAGATACCTCTGGTTCTGTAATCCTACAGTTAGAATGGACGAATATACTACAATCATACGTACATATGTGAAATCATCTATGTGAAAACACACCAATAGAATCATTATAGATGATAAACGGCACAGACATAAAGTTGTAGTTCTACCGGAACTTTTCACTTACGATAACTTAAAAAGTACCAGACATATTTCAACTAATCATGCAGATAACACTTGAATCCAATCCGAACGAAGTTGTGCCCCACTCACTATAAACCAAAACGAAAGCGGTCCCCACATCAGATCTGATTTTCTCAAAGCTGTTTGAAACAATTCTGCCCCATAATCCAATAAAGCAGGAGCTGGAAGCAATGTTTAAGACATTTTTTTTCTTTAACATAAGTAGACAGAGAACCGAACCAAATGGGAGGCGGAGTGATCCAAGCCTGTAAAAGTGACTACTGAATGGTTTATTTCCCAACCCCCACCCAAAACAAAGGAAAACTTTTACATGTTGCGGTTTTCAATCAAACCAAGTGAAGCCAGAGGCTCACCCACTCGCCGCACACCCTCTCTCTCTGCAGTTGTCACAGACGTCAGCCGACACCCAGACCCCCCAAGCTCCGGGGAAAGGAAGAGGCCGCTTCCTTTACCCCCAACTCCAAGTTTTAGGGCAAACCTAAAACTTGTCCCTACCTTGACGGATGGCCCATACGACCTTAAGGACGCGGGGTGGGGTAGGGGGGGTGTCCCAACATTCCCAGGACCTTAAGCCGGACCTGGGCAGGACCGGGAAGGACTGGACGGGGCGGAGACCAAGACGGAGGGGACCAGCAGGTAGCGCGGGGACCGAGACACGCCCGCCCGGCGAGTCAGGCCGGGGGAGGGGAGAACTTTCTCCCCAACTTCCCGACTCCAGGCAGGCGAGGCTGGGAGCAGCGGGGGGGTGTCCCAACATTCCCAGGACCTTAAGCCGGACCTGGGCAGGACCGGGAAGGACTGGACGGGGCGGAGACCAAGACGGAGGGGACCAGCAGGTAGCGCGGGGACCGAGACACGCCCGCCCGGCGAGTCAGGCCGGGGGAGGGGAGAACTTTCTCCCCAACTTCCCGACTCCAGGCAGGCGAGGCTGGGAGCAGCGGCCGCGCCTCCC